ATAAAAAGCGTACACTATTACGTATTGCAACAATCTATTGAAACTGTCACCAATGATACAGTGGTCACCGTCGGAGTTTGTGTATCGCAGTTGAAAAGAAATGTCAAAGAAAGCGCTAAGTCAAGATGCTGCAGAGCTCATTCACAATAGGTTTCTCCACATAATAGATTTGCAAGGAAGACATTCTTCCCAACGTAGAAGAATTGATGTCAGCGGATTATCATTTGTATCTATTGTTGAAATATTCGTTATCTTTTTAAACAGAAAGAAACCATATCTAATATAATTTGTCTGATTTTCAGAGATGGGGAGTTATTTCAATTGTGAATTCAATTCATGGGCCCGGAAGTGTGAATTTGAACTCAGTTGGAACGGGCGGGCAAATAACTGAGCAGAACTAAAAATAAAAACTAGAAGATATCACTAGACATGGGTAGTGGAACGAGAACAGTTTCCCCCTGTGTATTAAATAAAGGGTTTTGTTCAGAATTCAATGTATGTTATCCAGATCGATATATATTTCATGAAAGCCGGGTGGCACAACGACCACGTTTTGATGACAGCAGCAACGATAAGGACAATAATCCGAATATAAGAAGAGGAAATAGTTACCTTCGATGTTTAAGATATCATTACGAAGATTTTTGCGTCAAAATTACAGTCGTTTTACCAGACTGAAGTTCGACAACTTCCGGAACGTTGACGCATAATGAAAATATCTTTACAGGTATTTTTTTATCCAATGGAAGAATCAGCAATATCATTGGTCCTCACCTGACGGCTCGGCTTCAGTCACTTGCCCTCCGCCGTATGGCTTCCTCCATGTGGCTTTCCTATAAATGTTCTCATGGCAATTGTTCGGATGAGCGCATTGCCATGGTACCTAGACTTTTTGAATTTAAGCGCAGTACTAGACTGGTGTCGAGGTCTCATAAATTTACAGTTGAGTTGGTTAGATGTAGTCGCAAATTCTATGCTAGCAGTTTCTTGGCTCGCAATTTTCTCTTGCGAAACTCCCTACCGGTTCAACACGTTCCAGCCAACTTTAATCTTCAACAATTTAAATTCAATGTCAATCACTAACATCTGTCCTTCTGATTGTTCTTTCCTCTTCTTGCTTATTATTAATGTTTCTGTTGCTAGTTCTTCCACACACCCTGTAACCTCTTATATATTAGTGGCTTTACTGTCTTGCGTGATTAATACGGATGGAAAAAAAAAGCTAATGAAGATGAGGGTTATTCAATAAGTTCGCGGCTTAAAATGGAATTAGAAACAAACATTCTTCAATATTAACTTTATGTATTCATATAAGTTCCATCAATATCAATGTACTTCTGTAAGAGATGATACCAAACATTTATATAATCCTGGAAGAACTGCGGATACTTATAATTTAAGCATGACAAAATAGTATTATTTACATTATTTATATTAGGACTATTTCCGAATCTTTGTTGTTATTGTTATCACACCATTTAAAGATCCAAGTTCACGGGACAATAACCTAGTGAATGAATCTCTTGGCTTGTGAATTTGCTGAGATAGTGGTTGTGAATTCAAACCCTGGGTCTGGAAGTGGCCAAACAAAAACCTGAGCAGTATTAGGTAAAAATAAGAACTAGATTTTTCTTTTTCTGTTTAAGAAAATGTGGTGGATCGGGTGATGTACGAACTTCTTTACTCTTATTGAGGAGATGAAAAATAATTAGTAAATAAAATTTCAGAGTTCAGACGGAGAGGTTAGAAGTATAGGTTATAGCAATATAACTATATATTATATATTACACCTGTTCTAAAAATCGAGCGGATTGTGAACCGGGTGATAGGCGAACTTATCTACTGGTTTAAATATTTTACGTATAAACAGGGAGTTGATAGCTCATAAAAAATATATTCTTAAAAACGTGGCCGTTGCTTTCCATTATGTATTCTCTTTTTAAATCTTCTGTTTCTTCTTTTTATCTTCTTTTTTTCTCCTTCGTTTTATTCTTTTTCATGTTTTTTTTCTTCTTCTTCATCTTTTCTCTTTTTCGTCTTCATTTTCTTCTTTTCTTCTTCTTTGTGTCATGTATTTTAGGACTTAGATATCGGTGACTCTACACATTCTCCTGTAATCAAGTCACTTTTGACTCTTTTCTATACTTGTTTGTGTTTGTTCTGTGATCCATTCTTAATCATTAATTAGAAAAGCTCACTATGTCCACCTATTAATCTTACGAATCAATGCTCTTATCTACTCGATCAATGGTTTGTGAATTTGCTGACATAGTGGTTGGGAGTTCAATCACCGGGTTAGGCAGAGCGTACTTGCACTAAGTGGAAGCGGGCGAACAATAGCTGAACAGTACTAAATAATATCAAGGCAAGACGATATCCCCAGATATGAGTAGTTGAACAAGAACGGTCTACCCCCGGTATATTAAATAAATGTTTCAGTTCAGAAATCTCTTGAGTTTACCCAGATCGATGTACACCTGACAGAAATCAAAGCAGTATGTTCATATGATGAATGGTCTTAAAATGAGTATTATTTAGAATATGGTAAGCATAATAAATAATAAATAATAGTTAATAGTAATAGTTCTGGTTTATCAATAGAAATTGATAAACCAGAACCAAAAGTGGATGTTTAACGAATCCTTATTGAGATTCTCAGTGTGTATTAAGAAGAATTGGTGAGAACATTGGTGTTATGGTGGAAAGAATTCTCTGATAAATGATTCAACGTAACTTTTATACTAAATTTCTACCTTGTTTTTCCAAAGAATTATTTTCTAACAAGAAGATGTTACTCTCTTTTTCCCTTCTAAGAGGTCGCATGGCAAAATTCCCTCATCATCCCTCATCGCCATAAACTTTGCTTCTGATCAGCTTGGTCCTGGTTTGACTGGCTTTTTTTAATACATTTAGGTAAGAATTGCTTTGACTGAGATTTGTTTTCAGGATCGAACTGGAAAACCAAGTTTCGTGTTTTGTTATAATTCCCCTCAGAATGTCTTAAAACATCTGTCTAATATTTCTTGGGTATATTCTTCAATTGTCTATTCCTGATCTGCGCATAGCAGTTTTGGTACCCAACAAACATTGCTCTACTTTTTCAAATTAAATTTAAATCTTCCGTGCTATTCAAAAAATCTATCTAGGGCATCGTTTCTCAACCGGGGTTCAATGTAACCCTAAGGTTCCGCAAAATGTCCCCAAGGATTCCACGAGAACAGGTGAGATAAGCTAATGCATTTTTCACTTTTTATTATAATTTCATATACGTAATATTACTAAACACACGCAATATATTCTTTGCTATTGTAATATTTAATATAGACATCATCCTATCTAACCTATTATGTTATTAAAAATATAACAATCATTGGGGATATATTTATTGATGTCTGTACGGTGCCGAAAAAAATTGACAAAAAAGAATTAATTTTTCTTTAAACCAGTTATTCAAATATAAATACTATGATATTTACCACGTGAACTACGATGAAAATAAAATGAGAGAGATATGGTATATAATTTTGTTTTTGTGCAGGGGCTCCTTGAGACATGTAATTTATTTTAAGGGTAAAAAGGTTGAGATACCCTGATCTAGGGCGCTAGCTATTGTCTCTACTTTATCGGCGTTTGCCCGCAATTTAATCTCGAACATGATTTATTCTTCCTCACAAACTGATGTTGGATGTCTGTGGATACATTTGTCATTATTAAAGTTGTCTTGTTTTTTTCTTAAAAGGAATTAGCCATTTGTAATTTGCTGTATTATCCGAAAGAAACAAAATGTTTGCTGTTTTCCAACCAAGTTTGTTGACCCGGATATGAGTGTCGCCTAGGTTTCATATTATCTGTTTTATATTTCTTACATGTAAACAACCCGTCATAATTCCCGCTCTCTTATTCAATAGCGAGCCTGTGTTCCGAAAGATCAAGAAAGCTAAATTTGCCTCCTGGAATAATTTGAAAAAATTCTCTCCCCGGTGCATAACGTTTACCGTAATATGATCCATCTTATTTTCGGTTAGGCGTTCTGTTCAACTTTTATTTTGTAAACGTATCTCGATAGAACAGTGATATTACGATACCTACTGAAGCGGAACGATATTGCATGGTTGATGAATGTCTTTTTAAACATACCATCACTCAAACTAATATAATACATCGAAGGGCGGTCTTCGTTAAGTTCGGATTGGTATACAATGTTCATTCTCACTTTTTCTATAGTTACATGTTTCTGTTTTATTTGTAGATTTGCCCATCAGTAATTCATGGTTATTTCCCATAATAATCTCCTCTGTATCGGTCATTGCCCAGTAACTAATTTTCTTTATTATTCTTATTAAAAAAAATATGTAGCTGACATATTCATAAGTCTACCATTAGTTTGGTCTGGTGCTTCTGCCATACATTTAGAGATTCTTGACAAAATGCAAAGTAGAATCTGCAATGTTATTGGTCTTAACCTGGTATCTCAGCTTCAGCCACTTTCCCACTATTGTAACGTAGCTTCCCTGTGTCTTTTCTATAAATAATTTCATGGTAATTGTGCTGATGGCACCTAGACTTTATGAATTTAAGCGTAGTACTAGATTGACCAAAAGGTCTCATCATTTTATAACTGAAATGGCTAGATGTTACTGTAAGTTCTATGTTTAGAGACTTATGGAAGTCTATTCCGGCTTCTTGCTTACCAGTCAACTTTGATCTTCCAAAATTTAAATGTAACGTAAATCTTTATCTTCTATCTTAATTTTTGTTATTTTATTGTCGTCTTTTTTAATAGTGCTTTTTGTTTCATGTTCTCTTGCGTCTTATTGGCTTTATTCCCTTGCTTGGGTTGAAATGATAATATATTATTATTATTATTATTATTATTATTATTATTATTATTAAAATCTGTGTCTAGCGCATATTTAGGGTTTACGCTTTCCACTGCAAGAAAGAAATATTCAAAGGTCACAAGGTTGAGCACTGCGCTGGAACACAGGCTATTGAAAAAAATGCGTATCTGCAACTTTTTTCTTCTTCTTCGTAATCATAACGGATGGCTGCTAGCAAAGAGCTAACCAAAATTCTTGGCAATGGAAGCTAGCTCGCGCATACGCACACACATATACACGTACTCACACAAATACACATGTATTTGCTCATGCGCATATGTATGCTAAAATTTTCACACTTGTAAAGAGATACACGTACTCGTAAATAAAGATGTCCAGATGCGCATATATACTGACATAGGGACATATACACAGAGACGCTCGCATATAGACATATGCACGCACACACAAATGTCATGCTCACAAATAAATGCAAATACTTACACATACACAGATACTCACATAGAAACACATATGCATCCAGCATAAACACATATACACATGTACATAAACTTTAAAATAGATACAGATACTCTTGCATATATGTAAAATATATATCACAAAGTATATGAACGCAGGCACGTATACCCATATCCAGACATGCACATATACGCACACATAAATAGATACACGTAATCGGTCATACAAACAGAAATGGGCACATACATCCATCTAAACATAATCAGATACACATACACATATATACAAGGACACGTTATGGAAAGACGATTCGTGTGTGGATTAAAAGTCGAAGATTCGTAATCTTATTGTGTTTACCTTCTGCGTAAACTATTCAAGTCTTTCGTCTCAGTTCTTCGAAATACACCGAATCTCATTGTCACGTGACCGGATATTCAATTCGTTTTACTTGCATTTCTCTTTCTCACTGTGTTTCTCTTTCTCACTGTGTTTCTCTTTACATAATAAGCTCGACACGAAACTTCTCCCCACAACCCTTGCGAATGGAAATAATCGTGTTTGGAATCATGATACATATATATGTAAAGGACGATTGAAATATAACTCACCATTTTAAAATATTTATAATTTATTTATTAATTATAATTTGTACAAGAAATAGATGAGAGAAATGAAAGAGATAAAAAAAAAAAATGAGAGGAAAGCGTTTAGCATAAGGTTTTATTTAAAATTCGATATGGGCACGAGATTTTCGCTACCTGCTTCTCGAGCCGCCCAGGAATCGCGTCAACTGATTTCACCAGGATCTCTGGTGGTTTGAAATTTTGCCCTTCAATTTCTTCAAAGGTTTTGGTTTAGTATAGCAGACTTGCTCCTTTAACCAACCAAAGAAATATATATATATATATATATATATATATATATATATATATATATATATATATATGAATAAAAATGACAATAGGAAACTGGTAATTGACTTTATCAAAGCAAAATATTTTGCTTTGATAAAGTCCACATTGGACGAAACGCGTCAGCAATTACGAGTTTTCCTATTGTCATTTTTTATTCATAAATATTGTCTTCTCTACTGATTAAATCGGAGAAATTTTCATATATCTATCTATCTATCTATCTATCTATCTATATATATATATATATATATATATATATATATATATATATATATATATTATGGCATTAATGGCAAGAAAGTTATTGCAATAAGCCATGATAAATACATAGGTAGAACGACACAGCGTTTAGATGTTAGGATTAAACAGCACGTGCCTGTTATCATACTCAAAAACAATTTTTCGTTTGGTGATACCATTCGGAATACATACGGGTCTTCTATAGCGGATCACTTGATAAATAATCTGACCTGTGCTATGGATTTTAGTGTGAGCTGGTTCTCTGTTCTGGCCAGAGCACACTCATTATTCCATCTGAAGGTGTTGGAGACGCTGTTCATCAGGTCCAGGCGACCCGCTCTTTGTAAACAAAGGGACTGTTTGCTTGGGCTTGCGGTGCTGTGTCTCTAGCATCTTTGGTGTTATAACTTTTTTTTTTTTCTATTTTTCCATTTTTCCATTTTTCCAAGTCCATTCATTCACGTCATCCGCGACAGAATTTCTTCTCATAATTTGTTTCCCTGTTTACAGTTCTGACGAGAGGGGACGAAACCGGTCAACTTGTGTTTGTGTTTAAAAATTTATCGTGGCCTATAGTAATAAATTTCTTGCCTTTAATGCCATAATACGTTTTTTGTTAAAAAATATTATATATATATATATATATATATATATATATATATATATATATATATATATATATATATATATATATATATATATATATATATATATATATATATATATATATTTAATTAATGCTCCAGTTGGTAGCGGCTTGGTGAGAGTAGTCGTGGCTCCAGGGGCACAGTCCTATGGTTACAGAGAAATCAGTTGAGTTCCGCCACGGAATATGTGAGCGAGCGGCGCTAAGTTGAGTCTGATTTGGAATCTCTTCGTCACCGAGGCCCATTTGGAACAATTGGTATGATGTTTGCTTTACAACCTAACTCTCAGGGTTTCAATTCTCGGTAGTGAATGCGCGCTGCTGATGAGTCCCAAATATAGAACGAAACGGCCGTCCAGTGCTTTCTGCATTCTGTTGAGGTTTCTATCAGACTTGATGAATTAATTAAATATAATTATCAAATCCTCCTACTAATTACCATATATATATATATATATATGTGTGTGTGTGTGTGTATGTGTATGCGAGATCTGATCAAATAGTATCAGGACTGGTGCTATAAAAAGAAAACTGTAACACCTACCAGTTCATCATTTAATCTTAGAATTTTGTTTCTTTACCTTGAGGTTCGCCAGGTACAAAATGTAGGGGATGCACTTGAGGTAGAGAGGCTGTATATACGGATAGGAGGGGAAAATAACGGTTTGTCCTATACTTGCAAAGGTTACGATTGTAGTGATCGGGTAAACATTCCCAAGAGGATGTTTACCCGATCACTACAATCTAAACCTGAGCAAGTATAGGCCAAACCGTTTTTCCCCCACAGATTACACAGAGAAGTCGGTCACGGGAAGAAGCTGTTTGAGTGAGAAATACTTCTCACCCATGGAATACAGAGGTAATGCGGATGGATTGCTACTATGTAAGTTGTCCTGCGGATCCTAGCTGTGCAGGTTAGGACTGGCGAAACGAAGGAATTTACCAGCGTCGTTATCATTGATGGAAGAATTTTGAAACTCCTTTTTCTGGGATAGTGAGCAGCTACCTCCTTTCATTCTCTTGAGTTTTCTAGACATCTTGAAATGTGGTTCTTTTCAAATGGAAGTGGATTTTTGAAGAGGAAAAGTCACAAAGGACAGGATATGGGGAATGTGGTGGTTGTCGGATCTGAGTAATGCTTTCATTGGCCAAAAAATGCTCCATAAAGCTTGGTCACTGATGAAAGCACATGTGGTATGGTAAAACGACCACACTCTACACACTCTTCTTCCATGCTCTACTATAAACAATGGAAATTAACGAGAATTTTTTTATAGCGTTATTACCTACTGTATATGTGCGAGAGATCTCAAAGGCAGTCTGTGCTTTCACTCTGTATACTTTAGTTCTGTTAGCACAGAAACAGTCTTGATACATTTGATCAGACCTCGTATATACTTTAAATGTTCTATAGTGGATACCGCGTATTTAAACTAGACGTCCCATTTTTATTTATTTACAGAGTGTCTTATGTCTATCGGAGAGCATATTTTATTAAAGTATCAGTTTTCTTTAAAACGTCTTCGTTACTGAAATTTTATGTCCATATTATTCTCAGCAACCTTTTGTAGAACCATTATTTCTGTTACCCCCAAGTCTTTTCTTCATCTGTGGAGATTAAGAAGTATTTATTTCAGTAATACAATTTTTCGCATTTACCTTTATACGCTGACGGTTTCATTTTCTTTAATTACTTGCATCTTAGTTGTTCAATGTCGCCTCCTTTCTCTTTCTGGTAAGTTATAATTACATTTAAAATGCGAAGAGAAAGAAAAGTTCGTCTTAAAATTACCTTCGCCTTCTTTTGCGTTTCTGATTACAACTCTCTGGATTTTTGTTTCTTAATAATTTGCTGAGTTTGTAAACGACCCCTTTCGCTATTTCAATGCGCCTTCAAATTTCGGTACCACTTTTTACGTACTTTGTTAACTCGCTTCCTAGATATTTAAATTTTAAAACTTCATTGGTATTTCTGATTCACATTTCGCATCTTAGGCGATGCAGCAGACAGGTACATCTCGTTGAAACATCAATTAATGTACGATGGCCGAAGTTAACACATTCCGGGCATGGTCAGTACCAACATGGGTGATTGCTTTGGGAATACCAGATATTGCAAACTTGAATGTGCGGGTGGTGTCATGGATAATGGCTCAGAATTTTTAATCAGAGAGCCTAGTTCCAATTCATGTTGCATTCACTATATTATCTAACGCTCCAATACCCTTGCGAAAGGTATTAATCCAATTCTTTTCTCCCCAGCTATGGGTAAATTAGTAAGTTTTGTAACACTAAATCATTATTATCTCCAAATAAAAATACTTACAATATAAAAAAAAAAATATTTTCTTGGCTTTAAATAACCTGTAAAATGTTTCTAGAAAAGGAAACAATAATTTGGGCTGTCCACTCAGACTGCCGTAAGAGTTATTCGTTAATATGAGAACGCATTAAATAAATATACATACCTCTCGAACTTGAAACGTTTGTTTAAAGATTTATTTCGCAAATGTAATGAAGATTATGATTTTTAAATAATATAATTTTTAAATAACATGATTTTTAAATAATATTATTGTTAAATAGCAATTTTTATATAACATTGTTTTTAAATAACATGATTTTTAAATATTATTTTTAAATACCATGATTAATAAATAACATTATTTTTAAATACCATGATTTAATAAATGCAATACTAAACAATGATTTCAAGTCAACTCGTGAATTTAATATTTGGAAAGGAATTAGCTTAGAAATACTTTTTTTTCAGCGAGCTTTATTAATTCTATTTTTTTGAATTAATTATAATAAAAATTTACTGATTTAGAACGAAAAAAATGATCCCGTTAAAAAATGATCCCGTTGTTTAGAAAAATAGAAAATTATTTGTGAATCACCAGAAAATATTTCTGACTTGTCAGTAAGGAGTTAATACACTGGAAAGCAAAAAAAAAAAAAAAAATTCCGGCTAATACTCGTACTAAGCTTAATAAAACAACTAATTAATAAGATTAAGAATAATAAGAAATATATGACAATTTAAAAGCGAAAAAACAATGCAATATACATAGGGAAGCAGTTCCAAGCTCTGTGACAGACAACACAGGCAAAATTAAGACCGTGAGGGAAATATTTTAATATGAACCGGCTTCGAGGTTAATCCCTAAACGCATAGGAATGTTTCTTTTGCCTTTTCTTCTAATTCTCTTCTAATGCATCATTCGATGCAGACAACGTCTGTATTGTTTGCGATTATGGAAATAAAAAAAGAAGTAGCGATCAAAATTGTAAGAGACTTTGCCACAAAATTGGAGATTCTAAACTAAAAAAGACAATTCAGTGATAATACAAGGTGATATCTATCTATCTATCTCTCTATCTATCTATCTATCTATGTTGGTCTGTTCATATCTATTTATCAAACTATATTGGTTTGTTCAGATCTATCTATGTTGGTCGGTTAATATCTATCCATGTTGGTCGGTTCATATCTATCTATTTATCTATCTATCGATCTATCTATCTATCTATTATTCTATCTATCTATTATTCTATCTATCTATCTTGGGCGGCTATTGCAGACGCTCGCTCAGACACTTTTGTATTTGCTCAAAACTCACAGTGCCCACCTGTGGTGCATACTGCAACTATGCTGAGCAGACTTTAGTTACGGTTTCTGGAGAGAACGTGTTATCTTGCGGGATCACGAATTTGAACAAGACCAACACGCTCAAGCAGAGCTACCGACGGACCCCAAGAATTCAGTCTACCCAATTTCACTCAAAAGACTTGTTATGGTTTTCAGGCATTTCCAGTCCGATAACATCAGAACGTCTTCTTCCTGATAAATCGACCATGGTGTGATTGAAAACCTTATCTAACGGTCAGAAAACGAACGTTCTAACCACTCGCCCATATATATATATTTATATATATATGGGCAGGTGGTTATATATATATATATATATATATATATATATATATATATATATATATATATATATATATACACACTACCTTCTGTAGAAGATATTGTAGCTTCCTTTCTGTATCAACACTATGCTATGTTCATATCTTATGTTGTTAAGATTGTGAATAAGTCCGGCAAGAAGACCTAACCTTGTCTTTACACTTCTTTGTACATTTACTGAATTCATTTTATATCTAGTATAAATTCTGCATTATTCTAATATACTTACAAAATATAAGAAAGTTAGAAAATAGTTCCAACATTTTCTTGTGATTTACTTTAGCAAACGCTAATTTGCATAATTTATAAGATCTAGGTATAAAACCGTTTGCCTTTGTACTCTTGTTTCTAATATCCTTATGAGCATAAATATCGCAGTCCTTGTTCTAGTGTCTTTAACACTTTGCCTGTCCTGCGCATCATACGTGATACACAGGACATGTAATTTCCACGGCCATGCATCATATGCGGTGCACACGAGACATGATTTGAAAAGCGTGGTAAAACTAAAGACATTTAAGAACAGAGTCTGCTATTGAGCAGGACGTCTGAGGAAAGGCCTAATCTAATATTTTGTGCATCATGTATGACCTCGAGTCGCTTGACTGATAATGTAAGGTCTCAAATGAAATACATCTATTTTTCCACTTTATTGAAATGATTATAACCTTTGCATCACATGTGATTCACAGAGCGTAGTGTAATTAAATCATGATTTGTACGTTTTGCGCATCACGTGATGCACGTGCTTTTATTACTTGAAATATTATATAGCAACATATTCTATTTACCAAATAAGCTGAATTGCCTTTCAGTAGTTATAAATCTGAAAACAGCTATGAACATTTGGATAGTACCTTCAAAAATACTCTGTACAGGCAAAGGGTTAACGAAACCTCAAATTGCATACTCTTATTTAAGTTTTGTCGAGAATCTCGAAATATATAGCCCAGATATGGTAGAAATATTCGATGCATAGAAGAATGGTGGATTTATAAATGTTTAAAATGGATTCTGATGAAGAAGATTGTCTGTTACGACACAATTAACGAACATTATTCTATTCTTGCATAAACACACAAAAATAAAAATCACTGTTTGTAAAAATCGCATCCATGATGTACAAACTAATTTTAATGTATAGGATTAAGTAACAGATTTCATACCAATTATAATCGATTTTTGGGGACGGAATATTTTTTATCCGATGTTGGCCTGTCTAACTAAAATAAATGACGAAAGAAACTATTTATGTAATTATACCTCTAGAGTATTTTATTATTCTCTGCAATAAGCTCCCTCACGATGACCTGGTTGATAATTTTGGTGCTATTTCTGATATGAGAGCAACAACCAAAATAAAACTATCCCATTGTTCGTGGTACATCGACTTTAAAATTATATATATAGACCTATGTATACTAAACAACAACCCTAAATACTAACAGCTCATCAGATAAAGAGAAACCTAGATTCATGTTGGTAATCTGATGTTTAAACGGTGCATCGGCATCCCGATAGGTATTTAGGATGCACCATTCTGGGTAAAAAAATTAATCTGAACCCATAGGATTGTAATTACATTGCTAACCTCAGGAAACAGGATAAAACAAACGCTCGAATATGTATATTTGTAATAGATTTTTTTGATGACGAATAAAACGTAATTGATGGAGGTGAATTTGATAGACTATATACTAGATGCAGAATATACTATATTTGATAAACTATATACTAGATGCAGAAATAAAATGGGAGCAGAAAAGTTCCCAAGTTATATTCTGCGACCTAGCAATTATTATCTCAGATGGTGTGTTTATTTATAAGTTTTTCCATTAGCGATATAGCTTTCTTAAGAATATATATATATATATATATATATATATATATATATATATATATATATATATTTTGTGTGTGTAACAATTTCTCGGAATTAACCTGTAGAAAAAAACAATATATATAAAAGACAATAAAAACACAATATATATTAAAGACAATAGGAAAACTGTAGTTGTATCCGACGCATTTAGTCCAATTCACTTCACATTGGACGAAAGGCGTCGATTAAGTTTTCCTATTGTCTTTTTCCCTATATATATATATATATATATATATATATATATATATATATATAAAGAAATAATCGTACATAGAATCAATTAATGCGATTAATGGCGAAATCACTTCGCTAGTAGAACATAATGTATAATGTATGCATTAAAATACTGTTAATCCATTGAATTTTGTGATCATTCTCATTTATAAAACTGTTGTCAGATGTTTCTAGTGTATATTTTTTTAAAATTAAGCAAGTACTTTCGAAGATCTATGTCTCCATCATCAGGTTGTAATTTTTTTTCCTTTAAAGTTAAAACTTGAACACGAAATAATTGTTTGTAGACCGAAAGATGTTTTTTTTAAGAATGTGCTATTTATTGACGGTTGTACAATCTCGGAACGTGCGAGTCGCAACGCTAAAGTTCAAAATTTCAAGTGAGAATTTTTATATGAATTTTTTAATATGGTAAATCCACGAATTCCTTTTTTTACAAGTGTTTTTCAGTTAACATGACATGAACTAAGTATATAGTTCAATTAATATAGTGATATGTCTTAGTAGTTTTTTTCTCAGGAATTTCATACTGCGGGATCAATTGTTTTTTTTATAAATATATAATATTCGGCAGCACATATTTTATATATAAAAAATAATCATACATAGAATCAATCAGCAATATTAATGCGATTAATGACGAAATCACCTCACTAGTAGAACATAATGTATGCATTAAAATACTGTTAATCCATTGAATGATGTGATCCTCATTTATAAAACTGTTGTCAGATGTTGGAATTGGTGACTTCAAATGGAACGGTTTCTATGGATAGAAATGTTTGAATTTATTCGCGTCCCTCAATCGAGAACAATTGATTCTTCTTATTCTGCGTCGTGTACCTTTCAGGGTGTGAACGAATCATGACTCTCAATAACCTCTAGTAATTATATTTTCTTTTTTTCTATCTCTACTAATCCCTGTTCAGCCAATCAGAAGCTAGTGAATTAGGTTATTCGCTGTTTCTTCTGTCTTATATGCATTCAATCTGTCCTGGGATTGTCAAATTCTCCAAGTATTCTTTCCTCATTACCTGTCTTAGGATTTTCACTGACTTCTTTCTGAACCAGTATAACTGCTTCTTTTGCTTTAGATTTCATTAAAACTTCCTCGTTACTCACATGTTATGTCAATGGTATTCTCAATATCCTTCTATAGACCCACATTTCAGTTGCCTCAAGTCTCTTCTTCATCTGTGAGAAGATTGTTCTTCATTCAATGCCATATAGGAAGACATATATTAATTAACATAACATTAGATAATAAAAGTAGTTTTGAGAGTCAAATTCGGAAACAGATGCATAAAGCTGTTTCTAGATATTCTTTATTTTTTTCAAAATTCTCTAAACCCTGAATCGAAATCATTTGTGATGGTAAATCTCAATAAGTATTCGGCAAGACCTACTTATTCGAGGTTCCCCAGGGGGAAGCTGGCATGGCATTGAAAATATTAGCATCAATTACCACTTATGCAATATAAAAATATAAAGCAAAGATTAATTTCTGATTTCCAATCAGCAAAAACCTGATTCCGCTGCAGAAAATGAAGTGTCATATCCGGGGCTGCTTAATGCTCACTTTCCAGACTTTCCTAGATTTCATAAGAATTTATACGGCTTTGTGAGGATATGAATTACTTTTAACCCTACAGCTGAACTCCTGTACATAAAACGTTGCAAGTCTATAGCCACTCATTGCAAATGTTCAGACAAATCCCATTCCTTAGTTCCACCAATTCCGATCCGTCTTACACGTACACAGGGTTTAATTTTCCTCATTTTCTTGGTAAATCTTTGGTTCTTCCAAAGAACCATTAATTTGTGGAACGTAAGAGGCTGCTTCCAAGATCAATTTAAACCTCTTCAAGTCTAGGGTCAGCCATTATCTTCCCGATGCAAACGTACTTCTTTCTCTTATGCCCTTGCATCAATCTTAAAACTCTACGATGAGTGACTCTTGTGATGTGTATTGGGTAAACATTGATAAGAAAATTAAAAAAAAGTACACAAGGACATGTGGGGCGTTATTTACATTACCACCAATATAGCCTCCCAAAGTAACATCAGTATCTTCCAAACTGCCATTAAGGGGGAACGTGGTATTACGATCAAAATTTGCGCCATTTTTGAAAATTACATTTAGGGTGTAATTGAAAATAATCGAAGCTGATGCATTAAAACAAGTTATCCATTTATTTATATATAGAAATCGAACATTTGATTGATTCGTTTTCTACTGCCTGTCAACACATTGCAGTTTATTTCAATTTAGACAATATTTTTAGATTGTAAAAATTCTCTTCAGATAATAATGGTTTTATTGATACAACACTTACTAATTAACGTATAGCTGGGGCGGAGAAAAAGCAGACATACCTTTACCGAGGGACTTTGCACGTAAGTGAATATAACGAACTCAATCGGAATTGAAACTCGGATCTCCGATTAGCAATTCCAAGCCATTATCCATTACACCACCCGCACATCCAAGCTTGTAGTATCTGGTATTCCTAAGCGGTCAGCCATCTAGGTACTGACCTGGTTCGACTTTTCTTAATTTTGATGATCGTATTGGAGCCAGTGTTTCAATGTGATGTAGTCGAACGATTTTCAGGTGTTCCTTTCCCGCCTTTTATCTTCCTAATGTGAACTATTTCAATACAGTTTTCACTGAGTTTGAGCGCTTCTTAAAAGCAATGTATTATTTTTTTAATTCTTGCTGGATTGCAGCAGTGTTGTAATTATCTCAACTGTCACGATTCTGTATCTTCGTCTTTAATCCACATGCCACTTTTCTGAATTCCAAGACTGATAAATAATTGAAATGCTGTATATTGTATTGAAAATAACGTTGACTTCACAAAACACAAGACGAGAAGCAATCCGCAGTTTTAAATAACCCACTTAGTATTAAACGTGTATTCTCAATATCTTATAAGGCTTAAGCTCGTAGCTGCTTAAGTGTATCGTTTAGACATGTCTGGCATAAGGTCACTGCATCGCTCAAAGGTGATGGAAATAACTGTTAACAGCTTGCAAATAGATTATACTAAAGGTTATAGATATGATGGTATATTAGTAGCGATTTATTCAGTCTGGCACAATGATGCAACATCAGAATAGTTAGTGAGGGGTAATTCAATATCAGTAACTAGGGTGTAAGTATTAATGATAAATACAATGTATTCTATATATGGCAAAAAGGACACGTTAATGGTGCGCTGGAAAAATCGCATTGTACGCTGACATTTCGAATATTTGCAATGCTATAAGCACTATATTGATTTTAAATCCGACATGATGTTATGTTTGCCTGTTTCCTAACAAGAATTGTCAATCTCTTTCGAGACAACCTATAGAGAGTTGCCTAAATATAATTGCTCAAAAGTCATGAGAGTTTGTCAGTTGTGACAAAGAGCTATTTCACCAGCTGTCTACTAGAAAAAAAAATAATGTTGAACTTTTACTGAATCGCACCCACCCGAATAATAATAATAATAATAATAATAATAATAATAATAACAACAGCAATAATAATAATAATTATAATAATAATAATTATAATAATAATAATCTTCAAATATTACTCAACCGACATGTGAAAAACATCCGTAATTTTTTGCCATTTTGGCGTTCACGTTCGGTCGAAGTCAGTTGACGTTTGGCTTCTGTAAGTTTGTTCGGTCTTAAATGCGAAAACGTCAGTTGGTATCCAGCTTTGAACTAGGAAAGTAAAGAGAACAGCCAACTGATTTCATAAAAAGTGATTCTTAGCTCTTTTTTAGACAGCAGAGAACACCCCAAAATCGGATGCTTTGAACTAGAATGTCAGAAACAAATATTGGCGGAGTCCAAGATCGCCGTTTCATCATTTTTTTATTAGAATTCAGGCAATTTTCCAACCATATCTATCTATATATCAATATCTCTGTGTTACCATTTACCTATATGCATCTGTATATAACTGTTTATAAGTTTTTCATATATGTAATGTTCACATTTACTGATATTTACAAACTCGCCTGTTCAGTTATGTTTCTTTCTTTCTACGTCTATTCATATTGATTCCAATCTTCTTTTTATATTTGTATATCTTCATCTATCTATCTATCTATCTATCTAACTCCGTCTCGTCATTATATATCTGTATATCTGTCAATAGTTCTTGCTATCTCTCTATCATCCCCTCTCCCTCTCTGTCTTTCTAATTTATCACAGTCCACTCATTATCTATCTATCTATCTATCTATCTATCTATCTATCTATCTATCTTCTTTTTATATTTGTATATCTTCATCTATCTATCTATCTATCTATCTATCTTCTTTTTATATTTGTATATCTTCATCTATCTATCTATCTATCTATCTATCTATCTGGGTCTCTTCAAATCTATCTATCTATCTATCTATCTATCTCCTTTTAATATTTGTATATATTCATCTATCTATCTATCTATCTATCTATCTATCTATCTATCTATCTATCTATCTCCTTTTTATATTTTTATATTTTCATCTATCTATCTATCTATCTATCTATCTGTCCATCTTGGTCTCTTCAAATCTATCTATCTATCTTTTTATATTTGTATATCTTCATCTATCTATCTATCTATCTGCGTCTCTTCAAATCTATCTATCTATCTTCTTTTTATATTTGTATATTTTCATCTATCTATCTATCTATCTATCTATCTATCTATCTATCTGCGTCTCTTCAAATCTATCTATCTATTTATCTATCTATCTTCTTTTTATATTTGTATATCTTCATCTATCTATCTATCTTCTTTTTATATTTGTATATCTATCTATCTATCTATCTATCTATCTATCTATCTATCTATCTGCGTCTCTTCAAATCTATCTATCTATCTTCTTTTTATATTTGTATATCTTCATCTATCTATCTATCTATCTATCTATCTATCTATCTATCTATCTATCTGTATTTAAGTTTCAAATAGAAATGTCGGGAAGATCATTCATCTTTAAAGAAAAATCCTCTTGGGACATACTTATTCCAAACACACATTTATTAAATACTAGCCGAATTAACGTCGCCTTGCTGTGTGTCGGATGTTTTTTGTAAGAAAATGATGAATCCTTGTCATAATTTGTGGAGAATAATGATGAATTTCTATATTACTCAAATATCTTGCTGATGTGACCGCCATCGTCTGGCTTTCTCCTTCTATATTTTGGATTGGAGTCATTCCCTTGTTCAAATTTAAATTTAATTTAAATCAAAGTGGAAAAGGATTCAGTGGCGGGTGCACCCCTGTGATCCATTTTGATCAAAATGAAATATACTTATCCAAATACCCTGGATAATATAGTTTCAGAATATATGTAGTTATGGGGGACTATCTTCCAAACCCTCGGAGGAGTTCAATAACAAACAAACTGACGGACAGAGGAGACAACTTTACATATATAGATTTAAACGAGACGCTTTGTCCTACAAGGCTCGTAGCTTAAATTAACATTTAAGAAATGGTGTGGATGGAATAATATTTTCCTACTGCATTGTCTATTTGTGTCATGGGTCCTTACCTATAACTACAGAATGAACTCTTCCTAACACTATGTATACTACGCCTCTCAAGAGAGAGGGTCGAATCGAGTCGAGCCGATAGTAGTTCACTTCAAACCAGACTGACAGTCATACTAACACCTTCCACATCTTGTATTATTATTTCGTGTAATATACCTTCGTTATTTCTATTCTTGTCTTCGTGTTGTTCTTCCTTGGTCCTAACCTGGACCATAACAATTTGAAACTCAACTTATCTATCTATCTATCTATCTATCTATCTATCTATCTATCTATCTATCTATCTATCTATCTATCTTCATAAGAAGCTATAAATCTTCTATCACGTATGTTTACTGTTCGAGTCATAAACTGGTCTTTTTACTTACTAATGCAGTCAGATCTCACTTCGTGACTCTCTACGCCTTCATCACAAATAGTATGGATATATATTCTTTCTTACCACCTATTTTCCCTATAGCTTATGGCCACATGAAGGTGAAACACCGGTTATAGTGAGCTACTAGTCAGAACGTAGATGGGTAACCACTTTGGAATATCAGATATCAACCAATCTATCTCTCTCTCTCTCGCTCACTTTCTCTCTCTCTCACACACACACGCACGCACACATACATACACCGGGTGTAACATCAAAATTGTGCAATTGTTAGATTAAGCTCTGAACCGTTGTATAACAGAAATGATTAAAGATATATCACTGGAATTCTCCGAGGATTTTATAACACTACTGGACTCTACATTGAGCAGTAAGAATGTATAATTACTCCCTAAGCTTAGAAGAAGAATCATGAGGAAATCGATCATAAACGAAAAGGATATATTTATTATTAATTAATCATGGCTAAGGATCGGAAGCTCATGAAGGATTGCAATAAAGTTCAAATATAAATTTATTATTCCAGGATCATTTTCCAACTTATTCAAGTTGTTCTTCGCCCTTTCTAACTTTCTAACTTTCTGTCCTTACGATTTTATATTCAAGTCTTTTTTCACTGAACTGTCAAAGCTGAGACTCCCACACATGTCAAGCGTCTTATGGACTAAGTTGGATCTTTTCTAATTGATCTCTTTAACTCTGAGTTAAAATCCTGATTCCTCTTGCTGTTGTGACTGCCAGATCCAATTATCCTATCTACTGTTTCCTCTTTTTTGAACATATTCATCGTTGTCTTGATGAATCTGGACTTTGAAGATGAAAGCCAGAGTATGTAATATTACTGAAGGCCTAAATGATATTTTTCTGACAATGATAGTTTTTTTATACATTAAACATCTGTGGGATGGATATATATATATATATATATATATATATATATATATATATATATATAATAAAAGGCTTAAACACTAATATTCCATGGTCATAATTTATTCCATTGGAATCGTAAATACGATCTAATTCATCAGACCTACAATTCCCCTACCTCCCCTACCTCCTCTTTCCCTTCCCCTCCCTATTATTCTAGCATTAAATTGTCGATGGTGTGTGTATGTCACTACGAAATGTATCTTTATGCATTAGACATCCGTCGACATTCATTCTCTTCTCTTATCTAAAACCCTCGCCACCACCTCTCCTAAAATTCTCTCTGTTAAGGTTCAATCTCCCCCTCCTCATATTTACACTTTCTCTAAATTCTGTTTTCACTTCCGGAGTGTTTTTTTCTGTTTTCATTTTGAATTTGTAGGTCTGATGAATTGGATCGTATTTACGATTCCAATGGAATAAATTATGACCATGGAATATTAGTATTTATGCCTTTTTATTATATCCTTACTCTGTCCTAGACATTGAGTTCTACCTGGATTCTATCCTCTTGGAATTTTTTTTCTGAAAATATACATGTATGGGTATTTATATATTTTGCATACGTATGTATATTTTCCACTAATATTATCTCTCTCTCTCTCTCTCTCTCTCTATCTCTCTCTATATATATATATATATATATATATATATATATATATATATAGGCTACTTAAGTGATAAGGTTTTGAGAATGGATGGCCTAACAGGGGATTGAAGATTTGTGAATTGTTGAGTTTCCATTTTTCTTGCATTTAACATTGCACTCTTTGGAACTGTTGGTGTTTGATGTGCTTAGAACTGACACAAACACTTCATAGCTCTTACGAATTTTTGATAATTTACTTTTAAAGATCATACAGAAATACCTAATTTCTGCAAGTTTTTGCTGATAGTTTTTCTAATTGAAGAATAAATCCAAATAAATATGATTACCTTTGTATTCAAACCAGAATTATGAATTTATCATAAGCAAAATATGAATTTTTTTATTGTATTCGATAAGTAAAAACTGCATAAAAATTGTAAAATATTAAAAAAAACCCTACTCAATGAATACGACTTGCTAGATACTTTATTAGATCCTAAGTAATAAAAAGAAATTAATAGATAAAAGTGTATATATATATATATATACCATTATATTTCGGGACACAAATTATGCTACAAAATGTTTTAAATTCGCACTGTTTATTTAAAATAGCAGTATAATTATACTGCACTGTATAATTACATCATAATATAGCCAAATTGTTTAGTGTAATTTCCCTTTGAAGTAAATGAAGTTCTGAATTGACTGCACAATGATTTAGTAATAATGTGATTGTATCATGCATCTTGTCCATATACAATCTGTAAAGCTTATGGAAATTATAAATTTTATAAGACTGTGCTTTGAACCCAAACTTAATCTTTTCATTGCATCCAAAATGTTAAAGATTTGGAAAAATATCTTGCCATTATTAATCATGCAAAACCCCAACTTAAATGTTGAGTACAATACCATGATTTCTAAATCGACTTGCCCTATTGTAGATATGGCAAAAAGACAAGAGTTAGATAGTGCTACAAAGGGAAATCTTCCTGTTTCTTAATACTTTGCTTAGCTTCTTGGAAGGCTTCTTTCACTATTCCAATGCGCTTTCAAATTTAGGTGTCAGATTTTCCGGACTCAGTTAAAACACTTCCCAGATATTTTTATAAGTTTCATATTTGCTTGATTCCAGTATCCCCAATTCGTAGTTCGCCTATTAGGCTGTTACACCTTCTGATATTTTACTTCTTTAAAATAAACATAATAAAAATAGCAATAAACAAAGATAATGCTTGAAAACTCTGCATGAAACATGATTTACGAAATGGAAATACATTTATTATTATTAAGAAATCATTTCACCCCAAGCAAAGCGATAATGACACAGGGGGTTACACAGAGTGAAAGAGAATGAGAAATACTACAAATCTCTATTATAAAGTTATTGTAATGACACACATTCGTACTTGTTATAATGTAATTCGTGAAAGTATTCTCTATATATAATGCTTAAGCTATTGCCGCAACATCTGTATGGCTATTGACATTGTATTTAAATTATTGAAAATTGTAGGTGGTATGGAATCCAGTAATAAGTAGAGAATTTCAAAGTAAGAAAATAAACTGTTAGAATAGAAGTGTTGGTTGCACTTAGCTAATTCACCAGTCAAACGTTGAGACTTAGTTGTCAAATTAACACACACACACACACACACACACACACACACACACACACGCACACACACACACACACACACACACACACACACATATATATATATATATATATATATATATATATGTAGAAAAGACAGAGGGAAGTAATGTCACATCGGTGAAAATGTGACTGAAGTCGAGATGCTTGCTTATGTTCGATTATATTACATATCCTTCTTTGGATTTTATCTTGAACCTCAAGATATATAGCAGAAATATCAAAAACAATTTGATTTTACAATTGTATTCTCGAAAAAAACAAAAGCAAAACAATGTTTGTCGGTTTACTGATGAAAAATAATCTAAGGTGTAAATAAAATAAGAATGAATTAAGAAAAATACTAATCTATTCTAGTGTTTTTAATAAAGTTTCGGGCTCAAAATTTCGAGAAGTTTACCGAATTAAAGTAACGACTAATGAAGCCCAGAGATTAAAACGGCCTAATTACAACCATTATGCGCATGTTTCAAACAGAAAGTCATATAATATATTATATAAGAAAACTCAGATACAAGCAAGGTATCTAAACGATAGACAAGACAGTTTTCAGAAATTATATCATTCTGAATATCATTTTTTAAAAATTCAAAATATATTGTTCCAAGATTTACCAAAGAAAATGTCTGACTACAGTCTACCAAATAGAAATGGTGATAGTGATATTAGCTGTTTACTTATAAGGAAACATTCGATGTTCATAGACCGAGAAGCCAGTGTTCCTTCCAGTTGAAATTTATAAAATCTTTGTATTAAATCAATTCTTCACGAAAATAATGTTAAATAATGCTATCGTTCTTCTCAGGAGTGATGTGGGACTCCGTTCTAAAATTTTGTTCAA